AAAAAAAAAAAAAAAAGAATTGCTGTTACATCCTAGACACGTGATCTTGACACTGAACCAGTATTATGTATTGCAGAGATATGTATGTGTAGTAAAAATATAAACGTACACATGAGATAACATACCTAACTCACAATATTGCTGTTCTTTGGAGAGGAACGGAGCAAAAGGCACTGAGGAAGGGAAGTGGGGAGATTTCAACTTATTTCAGTCTTTAAAATGATAGTTTTAAAGGAACTATGACCAAGTGTTCACTTTTGTTCATTTAGATTGCTTGAAATATTTTGTTACATGATCGTCTGTATTCTGTATTTTGAAAGATTATTAATAAGTACAAAATTAGTTAATAATTTATTAGATTACTTACTATTTTCATCTAGATACCATAACATTCTACATATTTGTCTTAAAGTCAGAGATTTGGATGTATGCTTGGAGATCACATCTCACTCTTCCTCTTTTTGTAAGCCTTAAATGTTTCATTAGTAAGCCATTGAGATAAAACTAATTACATTTGTTCTTTGTTTTAGGAAAACCATATTGAGTCTATCAATTGTGAAAATTTGGAAAATCTCTGTGTTGTTCTTCTTAATAAAAATCAACTGACTTCTTTTCATGGTTTGGATGGCTGCACTAATATCCAAAATCTTGAACTTTCACATAATAAAATCACTCGAATTGGTAAGAGCAAGGGAATTTGAATATATTGGCATTTATTTCTCATTATTACATTTTGTTTCATTTATTCCTTTTCAAGAACAGGCCGCCATCACTAATTTGCTTATTTTATTTGTGCCGTACTTACCTAATCTTTTATCCAGGTGCATGAAGGAAGTAAAATTATTTTTAAAATATATAAAGGGAATATGCTCCCACCACTGGTAAATGGCTAGTTATTAGTAGCTCCTTAAATTACTATATTCACTGACCTGTTCCTGTTTTTATAGCCAGTAGTGATCTGAGCTATACTACAGAATCTAATACCCTGGCTTGGTTCCATCATATGTTTATGGATCCTATGCTTTCTACACTTGGCAACTGTCAGTACTGTTCCCTAAAAATCCCTGTCATCACTCCTTTCCTTGCCTACATACCCTACTTGTACTAACCTTTCCTTTTTTAGATAAGGCTATAACCACATGAAAGAAAGAATTCATCAGTTTGCATCACCCTAATCTTTTCCATCCTTCCATCTGTATATCTGTATCCCTTTTTATCTATGTCTGTTTCTACCCTCATACTTTATAATCCATATAATTCAGCAATGAAAATGTCTTTTCTTGTTTAAGGCCAGTCCTTCTATTTTCTAAGATTGTCAGTTTCCTTTGATACTTTATTCTATCATTTATCACCTGTCTTATGTCAAACACTTCCTTTTGCCATTCACTTCTACCATTGCCTCATTGCTCTTACCCTTGACTGTCAAGTTTTGTGAAAGTGTTCTGTTTGTGCTTTCACTTTTTACTATCCAACTTCCCTCCTCTTCCTACTGAAATTCAGCTTATGTCTAGACTGTTAACAGTGGGATCACTCTAAAATAAAAATCTCATTATACTTCTTAGTGCCTGGCTTAAAATTCTCTGTTCGTTTTTCACTTAACTTGTGAAATTCTCAAGGGCCTTGATAGGGACTTAAATAATGGTTAATGTATAATCAAGATTGCCAAAAAGTCAGGAACTTGATAAAAATTTTACTCTGGGGCACCTGGATGGCTCAGTTGGTTAAGCATCCCAATCGTGGCTTCAGCACAGGTCATGATCTCCTGGTTTGTGAGTTTGAGCCCCACGTTGAGCTCTGTGCTGTCAGTGTAGAGCCTGCTTGGGATTCTCTCTCTTTCCCTCTTTCTCTGACCCACTTGCTCACTCTCTCTTTCAAAATAAATACATAAACAAGTTAAAGAAAACTTTTTTACACTGGAATAATACTAATAGCTTAAATTTTTGGACCCCCAAAAGATAGTCCTTTCCACCTTCTCCTTACTATAATCATTAGGAAATGTGATCTGGACTGAAATTTCAGCGAGTGGGATGGGAATAGATGGGGTAGTGGAAGAAAGCTCACTTTCCCATTTGATTCTATTTTATTTTTGATATGTGAAACAGACTACATTAGTCAAATTACATTAAAAAAAGGCATACTCAAAGAGATCATTCTTTTTTCCCTGTCTTTTCACTCTGTTGTCATATCTACTTTTTATATAGATATTTTGTATATATGCACATATAACATGTATATATGTATGCAATGTATGTATATCACTTATGTGTATATATGTATATGTAAATATACATTTACAACATATATCTAAGAGGTACATGTATACATGCTAATCCTTTCACAAAAGAGAATATTTGGGGTGCCTGGGTGGCTCAGTTGGTTGAGTGTCCGATTCTTGATTTCAGCTCAGGTCATTATCCCACAGTTCTTGTGTTCTAGCCCCATATAGTATTCTGCGCTGACAGTGTGGAGACAGCTTGGGACTCTCTCTCTCTCCCTCTCTCTTTGCCCCTGCCCAGCTCTCACTTATGTGCACACACACACTCTCTCTCTCAAAATAAATAAATAAAACTTAAAAAAGTAAAGAACAAAAACAAAAATATAAAATATTTTAAGTACTGTCCATTATGTTTATTTTTTTCACTTAACAGCGTGTTATGGAGTTCATAGCATTCTTTTTTTCATAGTTTCATAGTATTCAGTTCTGTGGATGGATAAGGTTTTATTCCACTGGTTCCTGGTTGAGGGACATTGAGTGGTTTCTAATCTTACATATTTGCCATAATACCTAATTGGATACCTATATCATTTCATACTTTATCAGTTATATCTTTAGGTTAATGTTCTGCAATAAATATTGCTGATGTAAAGGACATCTGTAATTTAGGAAGATAGTGTCAGGAACATTCTATGGGTTTAATTCAATTATTTTTATTCTTTTTCACTCTTGTTAACATAAATGTTTTTTTAAGAAAGTTTATTTATTTGAGAGAGACAGAGACAGTGCAAGTGGGAGAGGAGCAGAGAAAGAGAAAGAGTAAGAGAGGGAATCCCAGACAGGCCCCACACTGCCAGCACAAAGCTGGACACAGGGCTCGAACTCACAAAACCGTGAGATCATAACCTGAGCCGGAACCAACAGTCAGATGCTTAACCAACCCAGCCACTCAGACAGCCCAGCGTAAATACTTGAAGTCTATACATTCTCCTGTGAGCACTGTTTAGTCCATAACCTCTGTGTTTTCATCAGTTCTACAATTTTATGACATATTTTGCCTTTTACCTAAGATTTAAAATTTCTATATGGTAAGACCATTTTGTGTTGTTGCTGTTATTCTTTTTAGTTTTATTGTATATAGTATGAGACTTATCTTTGTGCCACTTCTGCTTTTTGTAACTTACTGTGATTTTCTAATGTGTGGTCAATTTTCAGGAATGTTTCATGTGTACTTAAAAAGGAGGTCATTGTTTTTAGTTGGAGTATGGAGTTTACATTTTTATCTTTATGACCTACTTTAGTGATCATTTGTTGGAGATCTTCTATGTCTACTTGACCCATCATAGACTGAAGGAGTTGAGCTAGTATAAATATATTTGTTATTATTCAGTCTATTTACTTTTGTATATTCTTTGGTTTCTGTTTTATGAGTGTTGCTTCATGCTGTTTCACTGATATTCTTAACTGTGTTATCTTTATTGTGAATTTTAGCCTTGAAATTTATAAATTCCCTTCTTTTTCTCCTTAATGCTTTGAGACTAAACTTTACCTTGTCTAACAACATTTTATTTTTGTTTGTATTTGCCTACTTGGCCATAAAAAGCAAAACAAAACAAAACAAAACATCTCGAAGCACTTTGTTTTAGGTATGTACTTATATACAGCATAGATTTGGTTTCTATTTTTGGATCCAATTTTAAATTTATAGGACATGGACATTTGCATTAGTAATTCATCATAGACACTTGGTGTTAGCACTGTCGTCACACTCAGGATGATGCTATCTCTTTCTGGGAGGAGGCCTTGTTGACAATACATGGGTTCTCCCACCACTGGAGCATTTCCATTTCTTACTTATCTATTCAGTTTCCATAGGATTCCCTCTGTACCAGTGTGGAGTAGGGTGGATTGTATTGGTTGTGGATGCTTACTACCCCACTTAGAAAAAAATCAGCTTGTAATTTCATCTCCCATTTACACTGGAAGCATAGGTTGGGGTATGTTTATTTAATTGTTGCTCATTATGGATTTCTGAAGGAGATACAGGGAGAGTTGGATCTAGGCAGTCACCATCATCTTCCTTTTTTATTTTTAATATGGGAAAAATATAGTTGTTTTCAAAAAGCAAGCTTTTGCAGACATTTCAAGGCACACTTTTGAAAATATAATGCATAATATTCTTTAATGTGTTTATTTGCCTATGTGTCTGTGCTGCCTGCTTTGGGACTACTCATATTTTCTCCCATATGGAAATAGTGATACCTTTGATACAATTTTTATTTTAAAATTTTAGTTTACAAGACAGAAATAATTTTGTTGGAATGAAGGCAAGTGCATTGATAATATATGTTGCTATATTGGCACACCCTGAAGCAAGCTTAGCAAAAAAAAGGGCTGTTTGTGAGAGAGATGCTTTAACTCCCATTCACTTCATTTTCATTGCCAGCAGGGCTGTATGGGATTTCTTGTAACCAGTGGATTTCCTGGGATAGGATATCTGCGTGATTTATGTGGAAACTGCCATGGTATTAATTGATGTACTTGAGGTATCTTTATGTAGTACAGAGCAAACAAGGTAAAAGACATCTTTGCTGTCTGTTGGGCACAATGAAAACACTGTATTTATTGAGTGTGAGGAGAGTATACATGAAAAAGTAGATTTTTCTGAAGACCAGTTGGAGTCTGTTTTTCATCTTTAGGAACTGCTTACAGAGATTCTGGTTGAGCTAAGGGAAAAGCATAGATTTTGTCTTTCAATGATGTATTGATGCTAAGAACCCTTATGAAGGAGCACAAAGATAGATTTGTGTTTATAAGTTAATAGGTTACTATTCCATGCTATAATATTTCTTGAGGAGGTGAAATAAAATTGGAAGAAATACCATGTATTCTACATCTGCAGTTTCAAGTATAATTTGTTCCTAATTTTTACTAAGCTGTAGTTGTTGCAGTAAGCATGTAAGGTTAGCTCTAATTACTCCTTTTAGTAGAAAACTTTAATGCACATTTTTATCTGACTTTCATTGCATTTAAGTGAATGAGAATAGGAACTCTCAATCTGCTTAAGGCAATTCATTTGAAATTATTCATTGAAATAAATGTTTTCCGTTCTAATTAAACTAATTACAGAAATGGAAACACAATGTAAAATATACTTTTTAAAAGTAGCAACCTAAAATGTAATTCTATAAATTCAAAGTTACAGAGTTAATAATATATTTTTGTTATTGCCATTAATGCTTAAACATATTGTGTGCCGTGAGTAATTTGAAAACGACCGTATACCATTTTTATGTTATTTTCTATAATTGGTTCTATTTTGGTAGCAAGGTTTTAAAAAATACTGATTTACTTCTGAGAGAGAGAGAGCAAGTGGGGAGGGGCAGAGAGAGAGGGAACTACAATCAAAGGAGGCTGGAGGCTCCAAGCTGTCGGCATAGAGCTGCTTGTGGGGCTCGAGCTCAGG